GAGAGAGAGAGAGAGAGAGAGAGAGAGAGAGAGAGAGAGAGAGAGAGAGAGAGAGAGAGAGAGATCTTTATCATTACAGGTGACATCATACAAGTTCTGCCTCATTACACAGTACCAGCGAGAGAGAGAGAGAGAGAGAGAGAGAGAGAGAGAGAGAGAGAGAGAATTCCAGAGTGTACGTCCCGAGTTGTTTGCTGTCCTGTATCATTTCCGGTCTCGGGAGAGACACAGTACTCTCTTCTACCTTCTGGCATTCATTTTTTATCTTCTGCACACCCGTTATCTTTTTCATTCCGGTTTCCTCTTTCATCGTCTGCTCATTCCGCTGTATCTCCATTTTCATTTTTGCGGATGTGTCTCTTTCTGGTTGGAACAGAGGGGCTCCTGAGTTGCATTCAAATAGAAGGATCACAGCTGTTGAAATGCATGTTCGTGATGGTTAAAAAAACAAGAAAAAGGACTGTATAAGGTTCATTAGAGTCATAGATAAGGTAAAAAAATAGAAAAAAAAAAGAGTCATAGACAGCATTAGGTACGCCTGCATCGAATGATGAGTGGATCCTTAAGCCCGCCCTAGAAAAATCGGCCCACTGGAAAGACCGGCACACCTCCCTCATCGGTAGGGCGCTTGCGATCAGTAGTGTAGTGCTGGAAGCCCTTTGGTATAGATTTGCAATTTGGACCCTAAGTAAGGAGGCCGTCCGATCTCTAAAGAGCTAGGCTGCCAGCTGTCCGATGGGGAGACATCTCCCCCGGACGTCTCCGGGAGACTGTCAGCGGGGAGTTGTCTGGATATCGGACAACTGTTTTTTTGCCAAAAAAAAAAAAGAAAAACGGGGGGGTTGGGACCCCCCCCAAACAAATTCAGGCTGTTCTGAGCAAAACCGAAAACAAAATATCAGATACGGTGGGGGAGGTGTGATGGTGGGGTGTTGGGAGGGGTGGATTGCTTGGGGAGTTGAAATGGAGGGCCTGCTGCTGCAATCAGCAACTGCTGCACATGCAGTGACTGCAGCTGCTTCGTCTGACGCAGCGTGTGGACCATCCGCTCCGGCAGATGCAGCAGCTGCAGTGACAGCAGCACACACACACACACACACACCCACACACACACACACACATTCTATCCACACACAAACACGAGTGACATGCACGTGAGCACACATACACACAGTCACACACACACACACGATCTACTCTCACACACACAGATGCACTGTCTACGCACACAAACACGCACCGACACCCACGCACACACACACACACACACACACACACACACACACACACACTCACACTGGGAAGGAAACAGTAGCAAGGCCAAGGCAAAAGTTGTTCAGTTTATTTTTCTGCATAACATAGTTTTATTTTTTATTTCAAATTTGATAAAGATTTTTTTTTTTTCAAATTTGATAAAGAATTTCGATGTAACCCCAAGGCAAAAGTTGTTCAGTTTATTTTTCTGCATAACATAGTTTTATTTTTTATTTCAAATTTGATAAAGATTTTTTTTTTTTCAAATTTGATAAAGAATTTCGATGTAACCCCAAGGCAAAAGTTGTTCAGTTTATTTTTCTGCATAACATAACTTATTTTTCTGCATAACATAGTTTTATTTTTTATTTCAAATTTGATAAAGATTTTTTTTTTTTCAAATTTGATAAAGAATTTCGATGTAACCCCAAGGCAAAAGTTGTTCAGTTTATTTTTCTGCATAACATAACTCGTTTCCAGACACAGCCCACTCGGATTTGGTCAGGGACGACTTTTGGGTCCGCGTCCTGAGGGCCTGGCGCCAACTCCCGTTGCCTGACAAACTCCCACCAACTAGGTGGGAGGAGGTGATGCATGAGGATTACACACCGGTACAGCAGGGTGTATCGCAGCTCAGACACCCCGTGGAGCAGCTGGGTCAAAAAAGGCATAATCAGAATAAAGGAGTTATGGGACATAAAAGAGGGGGACTGGAAAACGGTGCCACAACTGAAGACCATGTGAAAGCACTGTCACAAGGTTGAGGAGAACATCGATCTGCTGATCTTTGCTATCCCCCTTGACTGGGTGCGCATCCTGCGCAGAGGGACGCGGCTAATAGAAGGGGATTCGGTAGCTGCCCCAGGGGATCGGAAAAATTGTAGGCAATGTGGTGGAGATACGAACAGACGAAACGTTGGTTAACCTCTTCGACATAGGCAAGGAAAATAAGCTCACTGGATACATCCCAGAGGTGATGGGATGGTGGAGAAATGCGGACCTGCACAGGATACGCGTGCTGCAGGACAAAGATGTATGGATCGCATATCAGCCAAATACCCCGTGATAGAGCTCCCCTTTGACCTTGACAAATGGCAGTGGGTCCCTACACGAAAATCCAGGTCGGGGGAGAATGTAAAATTGCACACTTTAAACCAAAAGCGACATACCGTCTGCCACGACCAAAGGCGAACATAAAGAAATGGCGAAGGCTCGACGGAGGTCTCATTTGAATGTAGGGATTCAAGCAATCCGGCCTATCCGATGGTTCACCACCACAAGGTCTAGGCCAGCGAAGATGGCCTCACTGCAGTGGCAGATAGAACACCGCTGCCTGCCCACCAATGACTGGTTTATAGATCGTATATATCTAGAGCAGGAGGGTCGGGCATTACCGTGGTGTAAATCGTGCCACACTGCTTTCCACCCCCGTAGAATTCTGAAAACCATAGAGCACATATTCATGCAGTGTCCAAGGGCAGTTCTTACATGGCGATGGTGGGATAGGATCTGGACACTGATGGGCACTATGTCCAACTGGCCATGGGGTTGGAGGACCATAATATGTGAGGCATGGTCTTCCCCCACTGGAAATACCTTTGAAAACAACATGTTGAAGTTAGGGAGGAGAGCGATCATGTGGACCCTCTGGAGAAAACGTTGTATACATGCTATTGAGGGTGTCTGCATAGCTGGGGAAGAGGCAACGGACATGATAAGGTAATATATATATTCAACAAGAACTTTTTTTTTTTTCTTTTTTTTTTATTTATAAGGACATGCTCCATTCTATTCGTGAGGCCCGGTGTCCCATTCAAGAACATATTGAGAAAATTATGCAGAACACTGAAAATACCGGGGCCATTACCCGGCTTCAGCTGAAAGATGATAGCTATGCAATCTACACAAACAGTTAGGTTCTGTAAGGTTTGATCATGGGAATATTCAGACCCAAAATCACCTGCCTTTAGCGACTGTCAGCAGCTCAACCCTATCTGAGGTTTGATCATGGGAATATTCAGACCGAAAACCACCTGCCTTTAGCGACTGTCAGCAGCTCAACCCTATCCAAGGTTTGATCATGGAAATGTTCAGACCGAAAACCACCTGCCTTTAGCGACTGTCAGCAGCTCAACCCTATCCGAGGTTTGATCATGGAAATGTTCAGACCGAAAACCACCTGCCTTTAGCGACTGTCAGCAGCTCAACCCTATCCGAGGTTTGATCAT